TCGCCGGGGCAGACCTGGCGTGGGTGGGGGCCCGACGGATGGCGGGCTGTGACAGGGTTCCAGCAACGAAGCGGAGTCAGTGGGCTTGGGGGAGAGGTGTAGGGCGGACCCGTGCGTTGGTCTGCCTGAGAAATGGCGAACGTGGACCCCCGGGGCAGTGCACGTGCCCCGAGAAACCTACCTGCGCCGGCCGAAGGCGCCCTGAAGGAGTCTGTTGGCCCAAAGCGCTCCAGCCCTGCCCTCAGTGTGTGGCTCTTTCACCAGGTGCTGGCAGGCTGGCGGTATTTGGGGTGGGTGGGTGGTGGTGGGGCAGATCATTGAAGTGAGGGTCAGCTGTAAAAGCATTCAGTAGAATGATAACAAAAGCTCGAGAGGTGGATCCAGAGAATGCAAATTCTTTCTCCTTTCTTGCAGTAGTCTCTAGTAGGATTGACAGTTACAGAGTGAAAAAACTTGGTCGTCTTGGCCTGGAAAATAGTAACCCTGACGAATACATAGACGTGCTACAGGAAACGGAGGTAAATTAATGCACATTGTCCAATGGCCTCACCTTTCAAAAAAATGTATCCACATTCTTTAGGTCTTAAGCCTTTCAAAATGGAATATATATATATTCACTTTCCATATTGAGTTCCACATTCACTTTCCATATTGAGTTCCACATGTCAAAACAATCTTGATGGTAATTATTCGGTGATCTGTACTTCAAGGGAAGAGAAGTTTCAGCACCATTCTGTTTTGTTTTGCTTTTCCTTCTCTGGAGCCTGGTAATGGTCAAGTTACTAGATCATGTAGAAAGAATCTTGCCTCTAAAGTCTATTATAAAGACATTTAAGGCAGAATTTCATTTATATGGGCACTCCCATTAGTAAATCTTGATGGACGGGTTGACAGACTGGCTCTACTGCTGTTGTGCATCCTGAGAAGAAAATTTTTGTTAGACTCCCATTCCCAGTTTCTTAAAAATAATTGTTTTTCATACCGGCTGACTTACTAAATCTCCCTGTTACTACTTCTGTAACACCCGATTTCCTTAATTCTGTACCTGGTCCCACTTCTGCCAGAGTTTTTAATACTCATTTTTTGTGAAAAGTGCTTTGTATGTGCTATCCTATGTAATGCCTGTAAATACTTCCCTTGAAATAGCTTTTCAGTGTTCAAGTCTTTTAGGATCTTTTCGTTAACATATTCTCTAATATCTTTCAATATACATTTATAGTTTATAGTAATAATTATACACATAATTAAACTGCCTTATACTTAGTTTACAAAATTGTCACAATTTCTTAAGGTGAGTAGTATGAAAATTCATATTTAATGGAAGATATAATTATTGTTGTTAATCAGGAGGAAAAAAGACCTAACTTACTGTTAAGTCAACTCTGACTCATAGCGATCCATCCTATACAACGGTAGAACTGTCCCTGTGGGTTTCTGAGGCTGTAACTACCAGCGCAGAAAGCTTCATCTTTCCCCTGAGGAGTGGCTGGTAGTTTTGAACTGCTGACCATGGGGTTAGCAGCCCAATGTGTAACTACTAGCCACCAGGGCTCCCTTGTTGTCATTAGGTGCTGACAAGTCAGTTCTGACTCATAGCCACCCTGTGAGCAAACAGAGTGAAACATTGCCTGGCCATTGCCTGGCCCTGCACCATCCTCACAATTGTTAGGTTTGAGTCCATTGTTGGAGCTACTAGTTTGAACATCAGAGGCATGCTAAGTTTACTTTCCCTGCAGTAGAGATCCTATTGCAACTTGATTTAAAAAAAGAAAAAAGTATGAGGGAATTTCAAGAGTCCATAATTTGATATTATAGTTAATGATGTTGGATTCTTAACTTATTTTCCAGGCTATCTTAAGGTATTAGAATTGGGAAACTCAAGATTCTGTGCTTAGCTTGCTGTTTGCACCACGTGAGTTGCTGTGGGGGACTAGTTGCCATGACCGAATGGGTCTGAGGGGGTTGCGTAATTGAAGGGTAACTAAAGAGACATCAGATAAGGTATGCAGGGACTCACCTCTTCCATGGTAACCAGAACCAGAGAGAATGAATGTATCCTTGGGTGTGCAAGCCACGACTTACACATATGTAACAGCAAAGGGTTGTATTAGAGTTATGCCCATACCAGGAAAGGGGTTGTACTGAGGGCATACGTTTCATGAAAAGGAAGTACTAGGAGCACACTTGTGACAGGAAGGCACATAATGTAACAAGATGGTGGCCTAACCTTGGTCAACTCTGAGCTGGCTTGATCTTAGTGTCTCTGACCTCTTCAAGGTAAAAATCTGATCCTTATTAGAAGGGAGTGGCCCTACTTAGGGTGGGACAGACAATAGGGTCTGATTGCTCTCAATGGCAGCCTTCAAGCACATAACCTTAAAGCCTGTATTGTAGTAACATCAAGTGGTTGCAAGCAGCGCCTTAGATTGACATTATTATAGGGGACATCTTGGAGAACTTTAGTTAAGAGGATGTGATTGAGATACATTTCCAACTCAGGAGTGTGAAGGCCTACCTTTGCAAGCTCCTTAAATATGACTGTATTTATCCGCATACACACGCTTCTGCGTTTCCCACAAGTTGCGATCTTTTGGGGGCCTGAGATTTTTTTACTTATAAAGTGTTTAGTTAGATGTCTCAGTTCTGTTTCATTCTTGCCTTATCACTTTTTTAAAAAATCCATTTTATTGGGGGCTCATACAACTCATCACAATCCATACATACATCAATTGTATAAAGCACATTTGTTAACCTAATCATTCTCAAAACATTTGCTCTTCACGTAAGCCCCTGGCATCAGCTCCTCATTTCCCCCCTTCCCTCCCCGTTCCCCTCTCCCTCATGAACCCTTGATAATTTATAAATTACTTTGTCATATCTTACACTGTCGGACGTCTCCCTTCATCTACTTTTCTGTTGTCCGTCCCCCAGGGAGGTCAAATGCAGATCCCTCCACCCTCCTGTAACGCCACTCCCACTTTTATTTCAATTATTTATATAATTCCTGTACTTAACTGATATGTACATGAGCATGCTAATGCTAGCTTGGGTAGGAATAGTAGTAATTGTGATTTGTCACTTGTTTTTACTAAGCTCTAAAAATGTGATTCTGTTTTGTGGTCAAGTTCTTATTAATTGGTGTCATATCAGATGTCTATTAAATGCCCACATTCACTTGACATAGTCATATCTATGAATGATTTTGTCCTGAGAAACCTAGCTAGCTAGCTACTGAATGCTCGATTTAGGACTACTTTCTGAAAGCTAGAAAATTATAAACGGGTGAATCTTCTGATCTAACTTTAATTCTGCCCTACGTGGCAGGAAAAGTGGTGGCAATGTTAGGTAATCAACAAGGTCAGCATTTCAAACCCACCAGCTGCTCCTCTGGCAAAAGGTGAGGTCTGCGTTTGTAAACAATTTACAGCCTCATAAACCAATCCTGGGCAACTATGAGTTGGAATCAACTCAATGTATGTGGGTTTGGATTTTGTCAGGTAATCTAGAAATATTTGGGGGAGAAATTCAACTATTCTAGAAAGAATAAAGTTAGCAGTTCAAACCCAACAGCAACTCAGAGATTGATTAGACTGTTGGCTTCTAAATGATGGAGTCTCAGAAACCTTATATAGGGTCAGAGTCAGAATTACATCAGTGGCTGTGGATGTGGGGTGGGTGCCACGTTGAGGAAGAGAAGTCCAGGACCAGAGGACCTGGAAATCAGGTCAGATGCCAGGATATTGTTTCAGAAAACTACTTGGAACCCTGAAACTATGGAAAGACCACAAACTTTCTTAAACATACGATATATCATTCCTAATAAGCTTGGATAAATTCATGCATCTGTAAGATTCCGTTTGCCTGAGTCCTTCCCCTTGCTAAGTATAAAAGCCCTGCTATTCTGCCTGTAGAATATGGAACCTGTAGCTTAATAAAAGTCAAATTCTCTCCACTTCAAGTGCCACTCAGTTCCTTGTGCCTTGACTAATTGCCACAACACGATAATTGGAAAGGTATTTTAGAAAGCATGTTGTATTCATTTTAATGGTTCTTTTTAAAAAAATTATAGCTGAAATACTAATTTTACTTTTTCTTGTTTATATGAAATTGTGGGGCAGTCTCAAAAAGCCAGAATGAAATTTTTTTGAAGTGTTTTTTAAAACACATGTAAAAAGGAATTTTATATATTATAATACTTTTCATAAAAATAATACAAATGAGAGAAGCTGTACTATGCATAAAGGACTTTTCAGTAGTCACAGGCTGACAATCAACCAAGTGTCATTCTCACAGGCCTAACTTCAGAGATTTCCAATATTACAATTATAAACACTGAAATAGAAAAACTATAGTAGATAAAGCTCTCTGCGAAGCTTATTGTGCTTGGCAAATGTTTCTGATACCTCGAGATGGTTTTCTTAGGACTTGCCTTATTTTTCATCTTTTTTCTCAACTTGTGAAAAATTTCAAACATACAACAAGTAAATAAATACTACAAATATCCTTACTCCATCCTTGACCTAGATTGAATAGATGTTAACTAGACCCTTGCTGAGTTTCAAGAAATACATCTCATACTAAAATAATAAGAGTATTCTACTTTAAAATAGCCCTGATGCCACAGTATGTTAACCATTGCCTTGGCTAACTGAAAGATAGTTTAAACTAAGTGAAGATTGACAGCTCTACTACAGAAAGATGAGTGTCTACTTTTGTAAAGACTTACATGTGCAACTTAATAAAGCAGTTCTACTCAGCCCTTTAGGGTTGCTATGAGTCAGAATGGATGTGAAGCTAATGGAATTGAGACCTAAAAATTTAATTTACTAGGTTGCTGAGAGGAAATGTGTGGTTTTCCTCCTTATAGCAAAATATTTTTTACCTTGATTGCTTACATTTTTCGACCCCTTCAGAACTATCCACTTTTCTTCAAAATCTGTGCCTTGCATCACTTCATTCTCAACATCTGTGTGTGTGTGTGTGTCTTTCTGTTACTTGCTCTGGTGGCTACATGGTGAGCTGCTAACTGCAAGGACAATTGGAAACCAGCTGCTCCACTGGAGGAAGGCGGGGCTTTCTACTCCTGTGAATATTAGTCTTGGATTCGTAGATGGGCTGTTTTACCCTGTCCTGTAGGGTTATTATGAGGCAGCACCGCCTTGAAGGCAGTGAGGGTTTTCCTCCTGTTTTTAAATGTAATATTCTTTGATAAGGTTTATCAGAAATACTAATTTTCTAGGGGTGAGAGAAAATCAGGTTTATATTATTGGGTGCTCTCCACTGCTTTTCTGTGTCTCCTACTTAGTCTAGAGCAGGCGTCCTCAAACTGGCCCGCCGAGAACATTTATCTGGCCCGCCGGGTGTTTTTGCCCCGTTTGGTTTTTTACTTCAAAATAAGATATGTGCAGTGTACATAGGAATTTGTTCATAGTTTTTTTTTAAACTGTAGTCCGGTCTCTTTCAATGGGCCCGAGGGACAGTGAACTGGCTCCCTGTCTAAAAAGTTTGAGGACCCCAG